GCAACACAATGTACACTTATGAATGCAAAAAATATATATACATACATATATGAAATGCTTCTAATTTTACATTTACTGCCAGTTCTCAAATCAAGGTCGTAGAACGGAAGAGAAGAACTGACAATAAACTCTCCGCCACTCGTTTTAATCGCCAAGTTTTTTGTTTTACACAATGTTTGTAAGGAGCTGCAACCATTACACCATGTTCCACATGACATCTTAAGTAATAAATAATAATAAAATAAATTAAAAACAAAGATTTGTCCTCTATCAGCAGGAGGCATGGTTAAATAGGAGCACGCACTTACATTCTCGTGGGAACAACACGCAAATACATAGTCGAAATAACTATTATCACCGCATACACAAATTCAAGTACGACCCACACAACAAGTAGCACCTGTTCACGAGTATGACGCATGGCCAGCCATCGGCCCCCTCCCCATATTTTAGGGAGAGAGACAACCCGACGCATGGACGCCGCAACAAGCAATGAGATTTAAGCGAGCATGACGATCCTTGAAATGTGAACTTGGCTACATAAGAAAATAATAATACTGAAATAATTTGATACCACATGGATCACGGTTTATTCCCACTTTATATTAAAATAGTCGTGGATGTTGACGATCGCCCGAGAGTCTGGAAATGCAGCCGAGAAATTCAGTCACGTTACCTATTTATACTGGGGCAATTCATATCCAAGCACTAGGATCGTTTAAATATTCCTAATAGGCCTTAACAAGCAGTTTTACTTTAATGTATTTAACTTGCGATTTCATTGAAAAAACGTATACGCCTTGGAAAGAATTACTCGTTTTATGCAGTGATAATTTTGTCTTTATTACGAGTACTATAATTATGGAAGCTACTATTACTTTTAAAGATATCTATATTTTTCCGCACATACAAAATATTCCCATAAATGTATTGACTTGCCTAAGTCAAAATATGTCATTCTTTAAACTTCATTCGGACTGACTCCCATGGGGACAATCCGCAGATCGCTCTTATAGCCCGCATTTGCACTACAAATATCGATTTAATGTCAGCTGCATTGCCCCACAAAATAACACCATATGACATGATACTATGAAAATAGCTGAAATAAACGAGCTTTGATGTATTCTCATCCGTATGATCGCGTATCTTTTTTACTGCGAACGCTGCAGAACTTAGCCTATTCGAAAGACCTTCTATGTGGTAGGCCCCACTGGAGTTTTCAATCTAAAGTAACTTCCAAGAACACCGCATTATCGACAAAGTCTATTTCCTTATCTTTAATTATTATTTGAACATTACTACTTTTTAAAAACTACTACATTACCTACATAACTTTTTACATTACTCTAAAACTCCGACGTGACCTAATATTCTAATATAATTCAATACTCATACGAACCTTCTTACACAATTTTTCTTTCTTTGTAATCCTAGAGTTACTAGAACTAAAAGTCTTCTATATGTACCTACGCTCGCTTATCTGCTACTTTTAATGGTCCAGTGAATAGGCTATCTCGCTACAGCTTAATTGTTAACATTGATGAAAATATTGATAATACATATATTTTGCATCAGTCTTCCAACTTACCGTAACTTTGTTTATCATGCTTAATGAGGCTTAAGTTTTCATTTAGGTTTTATCATTATTTTATATTTAAATTTTCTAGATTTTATTGCTTTTTTGGTTATTATTTTATTGTTTTTATTTTGTGGTTGCTTCTTTAATTTTTTACCTTGCTAGCTTATGTTCTAATATAATTGATGTGTTTTAGTTTGTGATGTCATATTTTCTTGTATAATTTTATACACGTTGTTTTAGAACTTATAAATAAATAAATAAATTGTATTCTTTAAATAACAAATTAACAGCGATTATTCAGTAGAATAATGAATATTTTAACGCGTACCTATACGTAATTAGTAATTGCTAGTACCTATTAATAATAGGGATTGCAGTTTTATAGTTATAGATATTTTTAACTGACTTGAATTGAATATTTTTATAAAATAATTATGCTACAATTTTAGAAACAAAAATGTTTTATTTTTCAAATCAGCTTTTAGGGGTTATAATTTCATACTTTAACCCCCAATAGCTTAGTCGCACGATGGGCTGTTTCTCAAGCAGTCGAAATTAACTTGTTTTTAATAGCTTTTACGTATCACGCATGCAAGTACTGTGAAAGTAGTGATTCATCCGTAAGCTGAAAGAAAATCTTTTGCAGGGACAAGAGGCTCATCCCCTGAAACAAATCAATAAAACATGTATATCGATTACACTATCGATAAGATGACTGGTTTAATTTGGGAAACATTTTAAATGAGAGAGTTTCTTGCCAGTTCTTCTCGACCGCTCTAAGCCCTTGACTTGCGAACCGGTAGTAAATGTAAATTTAGAATCAATTTAACATCTTCTCTGTAGACATAAGTGTACTCGGTTACCTATATGAATAAAGTTTTTTTGAGTTGTGCCAGGGTGACCAAATTTTACCTTGTATCAGTATACACGTCATTATCATCTCACCATAAGTTATCAACTTTTTTGCAAAAAAAAATCCTTGGTGATTTTAGAGAAGGCAGGTTTATTAGCAGTTCTGCTCGTCCGGTCTCGCTCTTGATTTGAGAAATGGCGGAAAAAATAAATTTAGAACAATAAATTTACATACCTTCATAAGTGTACACTAAGTGACCTACATTAATAAATAAAATTAATCAATAACGAATAATAACTAAGATATATTATTAAAAGGAGTCCCTTTTTCGTTTCCCCTTTGAATAGCTAGACTAAATCTTTGTCCGGGGTAGATGCCAGCTCTTCGGTCTCCTGTGATGTCTGCTAACCTTTTTCCTATTTACTTAAAAAAGTAAATTATAAATAATTATATTATTGTAATAAATTATATTTTGATACGTAAACGTCGTAAGTTGAATATTAGCTACAAGACCCTACACTTTCATAATATCCGTTTGCGATTGTAATATCGATCACCTTACAATTAAACCCTTCATAAATACATAAAAGAATACTCGACTCCATTTAGTTCGTGTTGCACAAGCAATTGAAGTGGTTTTTAATAAATATATACTAAGGGTAAGGAAATAGTAATTTTAAAAATTTATTAAAATAGTTTTATTATGTATTTAATCATAAATAAAACGAGAATATTAGTATGCGAAGAAAAAAAAGGATAAAAATATAATCTTTTTTATAAGTAGAAAAAAAGCAAGTCATTTCGGACAGAAAGTACTTTATATATTAGAATCATGTTAGCTGAATGCAAAAATAGCACAGCATATTGCACGGTTTTAACTATAGCGTAACTACGATTTGACATAAAGACGAAAGACATAGGTAGGTTATAGGCTATAACCAATAAAGAACTTGGAAAGAAATAATTGGGAGAATCGGCACGTTTTCGCAAAAACCAATATATCACTTGCTCCGGGGAACTAAGTCGTAAAGCACTATTACGACTGTTTTAATGTTTTCTAATTTTTTTCTTCCATTGATGATGGTTACTGTATATTTTTCAGAATTGAGCAAAATATTTTTTTATTAAAAACACGAGGGTGTATACCTACGAAAATTATTGTGTGGACAATGTTAGTAATACCTACCGTTTTACGTTTACCTAATTTTACGTTCATTAAATAGATCGTAACAACCATAAAGATAGTTTTAGTTTAGATTGCAATTCTACCAAATAATCATAAAAGGTTAATGCGACAGTTTAAAAACAAATAAAGAGTGGTAATATATCTCCGTTTCACCAAGGTCATAATTTTTCCGCGTTACTTATTACGTTCTAGACATTCGTGCCATCGTAATGTGCGGTTAAACGTGAAAAAATGTTTAAACAGTGAAACAATCGTAACACGCTTTTGCTCTTCAGTCTTATTAGATAAGACTGTAATGAACCTTTAGTAATTTTTTAACTATTGATACTAAATACACAACAACAATGTTTAAATCGTCAAATAGGAAAATAGCTTTTATTTGATATATATTTGTATTTGTAATGTACTTAATATCGTAGTAATAATAGCATTACTTTTATTATTCCTGGAAAAAAAGTAGATTTGCTTTTACGACTTTGTTTCCCGGGGCAAGCAATAAATTTAATAATATGCATAAGGAACTAATAATTTTGTCATTAGATAACATGTACTTTGACTTTTTACCTTTGTTGTGTTCTTTTTTATAATTACCTACTCATTATTTGCCGGGCATCATGTAATGGTTTTTGCTAGTCATTTTAGGTTCATTTCAATTTATACACTACTTGCTAATTCATAATTGATTACTATGGTTATGTCACGACAATTTGCATAGCATGTCCATTGATGTGCCGCAACACGTGCTGTGCATCCTCGATATTTTAATTGCTGACGATGATGCCTGAGGGCGTAACATGCTAAATCTATTAGGTATTTATTTGGCCATAATCTTCTAGGAATCCAGAACTTGAGAAGCAGAACTTGAGTGATTCTTCAGATTTCTGTATCTGTTTCATGATCATTTGTCAATCTAATAGGCAAATAGTTGATCAGCCTCCTGTGCCTGACACACGTCGTCGACTTTTGGTGTCTAAGGTAAGCCGGGTTTCGGCTTCAGCGTTCGAGCGAATGTTAAATGCGCACAGAGAAAGAAAATCCATTGCTGCACAGAGTCGCACTCTGACGCCACTAGGCCAACAAAGTGATTCTTTAGCGGTATCTATTTTTTTAACGTATAAATTGTTGATTTCTTATATAAATTACGACATCTATGATTAACATTATTAATAAGTTATTACTGTTTTCAATTATTAAACGCAAAGTTAGTTCTTGTAAATTTAAAGTCCTAAACTTAGTTTTAAGTTCTACGTATTAAATTGAAATTCATCACCGCTGTTATAGAAGATGACACTGAAGAGAGCCGAAGACTTGGCACCAAATATGTCTCTTCAATGATTTTTTATGTTTTGATATACAGTATTAAGTTGTTTAATATAAAGATGGAGGACAATCAAGGAGTGTCTCAGATCCGGAATTCATTCGCGGGAGCTAACATTTTATTGACGGGAGGAACTGGCTTCCTTGGAAAAGTGCTTATTGAAAAATTACTAAGGTCAGTTGTGTTTTTAGATTATTGTTTTGTTGTATAGGGAAATTCGAAATGTAATATTATTTTAGTAAACTTAAAATATAACCTTATTTAAATCATTGCATCGTGTACGTTTATGTACGTACATGTTCATGTACGTGAATGGTCAATCTCGCGTCTACGAACACGTTTGGTATCATCTACAGATTCGCCCAACAGTTTCGTTTTAATTTAGTTAGTTTTGCGTTTTTCTTTTTCTATTGACTTATTGGGCCACAACTCTTTTATGCAGATGTTGCCCGGAGCTTAACAAGATATATCTATTAGTGAGGAAGAAGAAAAATAAAGATCCACAAACACGATTAAAAGAACAGTTCGATGATGTGGTAGGTACAGCATATTATGCAAAACATTTTTAATGCTTAGAAATTAACAATTTAAAATTACGTGAACATTTATTAAAGGTGATATTTGATATCTTTTTATCACTTAGACCAGGTTCACACGGCATTGTCCTGCACGTTTTTTTGCAGTATTCGTCTTACCGAATAAATAGTGGCACATGTATTGTACATAGACTCATTCACACGGCGTTTGTACTGCAAAATATCGTACACCGTTTATACGTTCAAACGAATACTCAACGGACTTGTCAAGCAAATCGAATGAACTTTAACGTTAATTCGGTTTAGAGGGGCACATAATATAGCTGTGTCTCGTTCTCGCTGTGACAACTGTGTGAAGACTGCGGCTATTCGTATTTTACACGAATGAAAATCTACCGTGTGAACACCCGGGTGAAAGTACGTCAAAAAAACGAATAAAAGAAAACGTGCAGGACAATGCCGTGTGAACCTGGCCTTAGTCTTAAAGCCTACGTTCTCATTGTATTTTTTTCAGCTGTATGAAACACTTCACAAAGATCAGCCAGCTTTCATCAAAAAGGTGGAGATTCTAGAGGGAGAGATGGACAGCGAAAATCTTGGTCTTACAGACCAGGATTGGCTGACAGTATGTGATAAGGTATATTAAATGTATACATACATTTTATTAGATTTAGAAACTTTCTGATAGGTCGCTTAGCTTAAAAGTATAATTTTATATTATATATACACAGGTTTTTTTCATTTTCTTTTTTTCTGATAATATAATACAAAATAAGTGATACACAGTATAACTTTATGTGTTCCTTGATCTTCGACGCAAACAAATAAAAACCATAATTGATATTTAATTTCATGCTTTCAGGTTAATTTTGTTCTCCACGGAGCAGCGACCGTCCGCTTTGACGAGACCCTGAATAAAGCCGTACGCATCAATACACGTGGCACCAAGGAGATGTTAAAGCTTGCTCGCTGTTGCAAATACCTTGAAGCTTTTGTGTACATTTCGACCGCCTATTGGTAAGGAAAGACAATGACAAAAAATTCGCAACCCGTGGTGGTACCTCGTCGTCCTTTATGACACGTACCACCTCTTTGTGGAACCAGCTGTCTATTGAAATATTTCCGAACCAATTCGACTTAGGCCGTTTCTCCACTGCTCCGGTCCGGCAAACGTTAATTACCGATCCGATTTAGAAACTCACAACATTACTTACGTGCTTTTCCACTACTCCGGCATCCGGTTTTTAACGATCCGATAACTTGCTAGATCGGAACGCGGTGTTTTATCGGTCCAAGTATCCAAGAGGTTATAAATTATTATTCACAGGTTTATTTTTATAGTTTGTTTAATTTGAAAGAATTTGGATAACCTGGACCAAATCAAATTATGTTGCTATTTATTTATATTTTTATATCATAGTATTATTATTTATTATTGTATTATTTTAAGATAGACAATATAAAAAAGTAATAAACTTGCCAGGGCAATAAAATATTCAGAATTTAGAACGTTTTATTAATAAAATAAAGTATATGGGTTTAAGTAAATATAAGTGTTGCATGATAAATATACAAGTATCGATTATTGTCGGATCGGATGTAGTGGAGAAGCGCAATCCGGCCTTCCGATATTTTTCTCATGACTCATTCCGGTATCCGACGTCGGACCGGAGCAGTGGAGAAAGGGCCTTAGGGTCCTAAAGTGCATACTGAAAAGGCCGGAAAAGCATACGAGCTTAAAAGGGCTCACCTATGAGCCGTATGGCTGTGATAGTATTCACATAACATCAGATGAGCCTCCAGTCCTTTTGCATCCTGTTTTATACGAGAGAAAATTGTTATCTTTGGAATATAATGTACTGTTGGAGAAAATAAAATATTAAGGTTTTAGTGAGAAACTAATTTTTATTTCCGAGAAGGTTTCTGCGGCCCTTCACATAAATGGCTAACTTTTAGTGATGTATTAGAAATTGTGTTTTGTTGTTAGCAAACATTAATTCATTTATTTGTACCTATACTTAATTGGTGTCTCCAATCATCTTAAGCTACTACCACTATTATCACATTACTTATTCATATTGGGTTTTTACAAATCACAAGTCTTTAATAGTAAGACAAAGACTTCGTTTATAAATCCTAAATTTATACGCAAACATAGGGGATCGGGCATCTGCGCCTGGACACATTGCATAACCAATTTCGGTCACAGCGACAAATCGACTGAGTGGTAAAAAGGGAAGTTGGGCAGAGCAGCGGATTGCCCGCTTTGTATTTTTCCTACTACAACCATATTTCGCTTGTTTCACACAAAAGTGTAAAACTCATGCTTATGGGTAACCTAAAACAAATGTTTGATTTTCAGTAATCTCCCGCAACAACCGATAGAGGAAAAATTTTACGACTTTCCACTGACCAGTGACCTTCTTATTGACGTAGTTGAACGCTTGGATTCAAAAACTGTAGACGACATTACACCTGGGTAAATTTTATATTTACTTTTATTTTGCTTTGTACACTAATTAGGTATATTAACTTTTCTATTCTTTCGTTGTTTAACTTTTATCTTTACATTATGCTTTTAGACTAATAGGCATGTATCCAAATACATATTGTTACACAAAGGCGGCCGCAGAAAACCATCTTCTTAAACATTCTCAAGGATTACCTGTTGCTATATTAAGACCTTCTGTAGGTAAGACATAATATATTAATAATAATTAAACAGAGCAGTGTTGGCCTAGTGGCTTCAGCGTGCGACTCTCATCCCCGAGGTCGTAGGTTCGATCCCCGCTGTGCACCACTGAACTTTCTTTCTATGTGCGCAATTAACATTTGCTCGAACGGTGACGGAAAACGTCGTAAGGAAACCGACATGTCTTAGACCCAAAAAGTCGACGGCGTGTGTCAGGCACAGGAGGCTGATCACCTACTTGCCTATTAGATTGAAAAATGATCATTGAACAGATTTAGAAATCTGAGGCCCAGACCTAAACTAGCGCGCCTAAACTAGTAGCGTCACTGATTTATTTTTATTTATTAATAATAGTTTAATCAGATTAACACGGTGTTCAATAAATAGTGACAGTGTGATTTAGTTTCTTGAACACGGTTGGTTACGACGTTTCGGAACGTTATTTAAAATTGGATACAATTAAAGTTCGCTCGGATAATATATATCTGCTTGAAACAATTTTGCTAAGGAGCTGAAACCAAGTAAACCAAGACTTAAGAGAAACGTTAGGGGTTCACTCTCCTCCATAACCTACGGTTAACTAGTAATAACCTACGTTAGGAAGAACATCCATTAATGACGATCCCTGCATAAGGAGCCCTACATTTGTAGTGACTGAACAAATGATTATAAAAGTTGGAAACATTATTGGGATCAAGATTTTATAGGAGTGGCCATAATATTATTCACAACCATTTGTGTAATTGAAATAAACGAGACTGCGAAATTTACAAAGCTCGGGTTATTGTTGTTAACCAAAAATATTGACTGATTTTATGAAGCAAGTGATGAGAATCTATGGACGAAACATGACTACTTGTCCTAGAAATGAAAAATCAGCGACTTGCAAGAGATTTCATCTCAGAAGAAGTTTAAGGCGATTCCATCCACCAGTAAGATCATGGGCTGTTTTTCTGGGACACCCAAGGGGTGGTAATGATCGTATACTTTAATCATGGAGGCATTATCGAGCTTTGTACACAGGACAAATAACAAAGTTAGGTGAGAATTGGTCAAATGAAGATGATGACGCAATAGTTGGGGCGGTACACATACATGAGGAAGATTTTTGCACAAAGGTGATTTTAGCTTTAGAAAAAAGATATACAAAGTTCAAAAGCCTGAAAGGTGACTAAAAATGAAAAGTTAAATAACATTTAATAAAAGAGAATTGCGTCATACTCATGATCACTTTTTATTGAACACTCCTTAGTCAAATCAGAAAGAAGAAATCATGGCTTTGCAACGTTAGGGACTGGACGGGTATTGCGACTGCAAAAGAGTTGCTGCATCTGGCATAGGACAAGACACGCTTCAAGAGACTGACAGCCATCCTCCAGTAATGGAGTGGCACTATAAGAAAGAAGAAGTCAAATCAGAATTATTTATCCAAATTCATTTTCGACATTTGTAAAATGTGTAACGAAGTATTGTTAATACGTTATACTTTCCAGTGATATCAACGGCAAAAGGTCCGATTCCTCTGGGTTGGATTGATAACATTTATGGACCGACTGGGGTAAGTTGCTTTCAAGCTTTTTTTGTAAAAAAAGAGGCCATTATTATAAAATAAACAAATTGATCGCCATCTTATTTTGTTTACTTTATACGATTTATAATTTAATAATAATAGCCTTTAATTCAGATACATTACATTTAAACAAATTTCCATTTTAATACTCTTCTAGTGTACTCGTATCTGTGCGCCTTTTTTTGGCAAAGGCCTCCTCCAAATCCCGCCATTCCTCTCTGTACTGTGCCACTCTCTGCCATGTACCACCTGCTGTTTCTTTAATTTGGTCTATCTACCTTCTAACTTCTAAGTTGTCTCTCTATTTTTCGTTTGCTGTACCTTGGGCACCAGTTTAGTAGTTTTTTTCTCAACTTTTCTGTTTCTCTTCCCATGTACCCCCCCATTTCCACTTTAGTTTATTTATTTTATTGTAACATCTGTTACCTTAGTTATTCTTCTTAAAGCTGTATTCTTTATTCTGTCTCTTCTTTTCTTAACTATCATCGTTCCATCTTTGACACTCCTGTAGCTTTGTATGCTGCGCTTTAGTAGGCGCCCATAGTAGTTTGAGATCCATATATTAGTACAGGTAGTATACAAGTATTGAAGAGCATTCGTTTAATTATCATGCTGGTTTTCTTATTTTTCATTACTTTTTTAAGCGCCCAAAAGCTCTTCCACTCTTTTGGTATTCTTGTGTCGATTTATTTTATTGTTGCATCGGTCATAGATATTGTCTGACCGAGGTAAGAGTATTCGGCTACGTATTTTATAATACTGTTATTTAATAGCATTATTTCCTTTCTGGAATTGGTAATTTACTTTGGTTTTCTCAGCATTCATTCTAAGACCGACAAACCTTTTTTCCGAGTCAAGGTCTGTGACCATCTTCTCGAGTTCATCGCGTGTTGAGGCAAATAGAATCAGATTATAATTTTATAATAAAGTTTAAGTTAGTAAGTGGATTCCACAAATAAATAAATAATCGAAAACAAATAGTTTAGAGACAAATTGAGAGTATGTTGAGTTTTTTGAGTGAACATTTTTGAGTATAGAAACTATTTCAGTAATCACCGACTTTGAAGCCTCTTAAGAACCGGAAACAAGCTGGTTGTTAGTTACAGTTACAGTTCTTTAAAACACAGAATACATACAATTCATGGGTATGAACAGGAAAGATAAGATGATATACATATCACTTCCGCTCTTTCAAATAAACGCGTTCCCGATGAGTAGTTTGACTTCAGGCCCATTCGTGCGTTCACCAAGTCCATTGGATCAGCCGATTGACCACCCCGCGAAGCCTAAGTCGAGGTCCTAGGCCCTTGCGCTAGTCGCGGGAATAGCCTATTCCAGCCGACCTACGCTCAATAAACAGCCTGAGCGGAGCTGTCAAGGCCCTTCAGGCCAACAGCGAGATTCCAGTAGGGCTTTTTATATTGGGGAATCTATGGATGCAGATAAAATGTTGATGGTATTATTTTAGATATGTGTTGGAGCTTCGGTGGGCATTATTCGTTTAATCAAATGTAACCCGGATGCCGTCGCCGATTTCGTACCAGCTGATTTTGTTGCTAATGCTTGTATTGCCGTCGCTTGGAAGACCGCTCGAGACCACAAAAAAACCTCTGAGAGGACACTTGAGGACCACAGTGAGGGACCGAAAGATGTGGAGACAAAAGCTGACCAGATTCCCCGTGTATATAATTATGTTTCTGGAAACCAAAATCCTTTAACATTTCGTAAGTTATATTTCCTGTTACCTGTGTGGTTTTGTTTAATTGGATGTAGCCCAAATGTAACTAAGTACTCTTTTGTCTTTTTCTGTCATATTGCGCTTACGATGTGATAAAAAGAAACAGATAGTACTTTGGTTAAATTGGGCTAGACTGATTTATTTTTTATAAATACAGAGTTAGACTCCAGGTTCACTGCAAACACTCAGTCGGGTGATCAATGTCTGCTTATGCCGGCTATGATACTTCCGTCAAAGCACCATTGCAAAACCATCGCCACCTAATAGTCCTTAACCTAATTAAGTTATATCTTTTTAATATACTAAAGAGATATTATAAATTTTCTTTTTTTAGGTAATTTTATGAATTACGCACATACACACGGATTTACAATGGCGCCGAGTAAAGCAGTGTGGTGTTATATGTTGTTTCTTATAAATAACGCGCTCCTGTTCAGAACTTTGAACATCCTTCTTCACTGGATACCGGCTTATGTGTGCGATGGAGTAGCAGTTATGATTGGGAAAAAACCTATGTAAGGTCTACTAGCAGACACTACTATAATATAAGATTATTTAAATTTAAACCTGGGAGGATCTAGAATTCGCGACATTTCGACTCGACTTCAAATTCCAAGATAACCAGAAGAAGGAGCTTGTTTTTTTCTTTTGTATGTTCAAGCACAACTTTGCCGTCCGTAAACCGATCTGAACAAATAACCCTCGATTCGAAATTTGACTTCGAAATTATTTTTATTAACAGCTAAATCGAGCGATAATAATTTTCGTAAAATATATTTGTACATATTATTTATTTATTTTATTTTTTATATATATATTTTACGAAAATTTCCGACTCAAACCAAAAAAGATTAAAAAAAACGTGTAGAATTTATACTTCTTTGGCGTAACAAGATAAAAATCTTTTAAAAAATTTTATTCTACTTTTGCAGAAAAAAATGACACTAACAAAAGAAATACTAAAACTATAGCTAACTTTAGGGTGTCGGTTTTTTGTGACGGTGTGCGCGCGCATCGTAAAAATTTACTCATCATTTTTCCCTAACGTGCCAAAAGAAGTATAACTTCAAAAACATAATCTACGTTTCTTACTTTTGCATACTATTCTATCTTTTTTTATGCATTATATTTAACCTGCTCTCTTCACTTTTCAACATTTTTAAACATAGTACTTACAATTTAATATAATTTAACATTTTGAATTATTTCAGGCTAAAGAATGTTTATTCGAAAATTGACAAGTGGATACATTTTAATGAAATTTTCGCGTCGCAAACCTGGAAGATGAGAAATTCCAACACTTTAGAACTTTTTAAGGAGCTGAACGAGACGGACCAACATATATTTGACTTTGACATATCTGCTTTAGACTGGAATTCCTATATGTATAATTATATGATGGGAATTCGCTTGTTTCTTATCAAAGAGCCTAAAGAAACAATCCCTCGAGGAATAACAAAACAATATTTACTAATAATAGCGAATTATATAGTGATGACAATTTACGCTATAGCTTTGTTTTGGTTTGTTAAACTTTTGGGTGGAGGTGTGTTGAAATTAATGTATAAAGTTTTCAGCTGAAATTTAAATACAATTTGGTAGAAAAGGGATATACATTTTTTTCATCGCATAATAAAGTGTATTATTTATCAGTTCGTAATATAAATTTTGTAGATTTTTACCGTCCGTGAACTTAAAGGTAAAAATTGTTAATAGCAATAAAGAATTATGTTTTTTTTTTATTTTATATTATTAGTATTTGGGACTTAGGAAAGTCACCAAAACTCAGGTTTCACAAATGTCAGTTTTCTAGATATAAGTTTTAAAATGTAGATTTCCTAATGTAGGGTTCCTTCAAATTTTTTCCTACTTGTAGGTCCGTAGGGTAGGGTGCGTGCTATAAAAAATCACAATTTTAACCAATTACTTAATCTCACAATTTTAATAAGGATTACAATTTTTTTATTGGCACAATTAATTAAATTTAGGACACAGTTTGGAACACAAGAAGAAAGGACAAGGAACACTTAACTTTTGGTTAAATCTCTCGATGTGGCACTTAAGCTGTACTTTTAGTCATTAAATTTATATATTTACTGTATGTAATAGTTCATTTTTAGTAAACCACCACTGAAGATGCCACTAAAACGCTGTTTACAGATGTAATTGGACTTCAGGTTTACAAATATTGTAATAACTGTATGTATTTAATTAAGATTAATTATTTATATTATTTTCTGTACCAAAAATAAAAAAAATAAATACTGCTTGATTGATTAATTCTTGAGTAATATTCTATTTCTTCTTTGTTCCCGCCATGAGCCACCATGTTCATTCTTAAGGGAATTACTGGACCGGTAAATAAAACTCCTTAGACTTCTTGTAAAATTGTATTTATAAGTTTAGTAATAATCTTTTTGAGAAGAAAAATGTTCTTCTACCTCCTAATTAGCTACTTATATATTATATTAATCACGATTAATATATTACTCAATTGAAACTTGGATTAGCTTTTACATTTTTGTTTATGCATAATATTATTATTTTTTTTTTCTTTTAATTTCACTTTATTTTAGTTATAGTTAGTGTTACATGTTATTTTGTGATCTTTTTTGTTAATTATTTATACACTTCTTGTACTTTACCCTCTGTAGGAGTTTCTTTTTTTATTGTTTAATTTTTGGGTTGTTTGGAAAAATCGCTTGTTAGCGAAAAGGCCGCCCGTTGCCTAATAACTTATGTAAGGTGCTTTTTTATATGTATGTTTTTGTATAACGAAGTGTGAATAAATAAATTATAATCCTTATAAGACTTTTCGTTGAGCAAGTACAATTAGAAGTGATGGACGTCACCCAACCTTACAATAATAATTTTAGTTGCGCCTGGTATAAAACTAGCGCAATGACGGAACAACCCTCACGCATCTATCGTAGTCTCACTAAACACTAGACCAACTTGGTGCCCTCACCCTCACAACATTAGGCTCATATACAAAAGGGTTATCGAACCCATGATAATTTAGTGGCAAGACGATGTTGTTTTGCTTGCTTATTTCTGTAATTTAAGCTTTTAATATTCCATAAACAATCGTCCTTTATGTATTCTTCAATGAAGTTTATTGTCGTGTCTTCCGTCCACTTCGACATTTTCGAAAGATTTTTATTTATAAATTAAGTAGGAACTACGTTGCAATCACTCCGCCAGCTTATGTTTTTCACTTAAATTTAGCTAAATTTTGCCTGTCCAAACGTGTCAAGTGATTAGCCACGCCCACCTACTAAACCGAAAAATAGACAAAATTCTATTCTACCTTGTTTACTTGCAACTAAATTTTAACTTGCAAATATACTTACTAAATTCACTGTTTACACGGGTTAAGTCACTTAAAATTAATAATATTGTATTAATAATTAATACATGTAAATCAGCCTTAAAGGTGGCCAGCTTTTCCGTATCAAATACAAATTTAAAAATATGTGTGTGATGTGCTCATAAACATCTCACCGTACCTTTTCAACCTGTATGGTTGTAAACTGTGAAGGGAAGGCTAAATTAACTTCTAAAAAGTTTGGTGTGCTCAGCACGGTACTTTACTTTTAGCCTCCGAGTACTGTTCTCACCTCTGGGCGCTAATACAAATTAAAGAACTATTGTATAGCTTACGAAATTCCGGAGTATTAGGTGCGAGAACTATTTACACGATCGATCATGCCACATGAGCAGCGTAGAACACAATACAATATCAGAAAGCACTGCATAAAATGATCAAATTCTCTAAAATATACCGATTTGCTGACGGTACGTGCCTAGCAGACGGGCATAGTTTAGAGGAAGCGGAAACCAAGTTACAATTGGACTTTTAGCGAAAGGTCGCATGATGCAGGATTAAATTTATGAGGTCAAGTCAACAGTTACTTATCTACTCCTAAAGTGATAGCCGACAACCACATGTACCGAACACATTAACTGTACATTGTTATCAGAATGTCAAATTAGAACGTCAAGTTCGGTGCCGTTCTTATCCTCTGAAAGAAATCTGGCAGTATGTGTCATCAAAGATACGTACGGCTGCGTAAATGAAGGTGACTATTGTATTCACCTTCACCTTTAAATAAAAAATTAACAACGATTATTCCGTTTATTCAGTAGAATGATGAATATTTAACGCCCGAATTGTTTTCGATTGTGTACATGTCGAAGCCAACTAGCTGAATTAGCCGTTCAATTAACAGCCTAGCCGTTTAACTAACGGCAAATTAAGCTAGTTGGCTGCGACAGATAGATGACATTTCATTACTTGCCTAGCCTGTTGACTGTTTCTGTAAATTAAATTCCACTTTCTGCCACTCTCAAACTCGAAACGAAACTGATCAAACTGTCAATATGGCGTCGGCATACCACAACTTTGATGGTGTTTTACAAATTTTCATGAAAAACAACAAGTACAATGGAAGAATGTAGTGAGAATAATAATGTGAATTTGACTTAAGCAATTTAATTTTAAAATAAATATTTTTTATGTCATATGTTTATCTTTTTTATTTCTGCCAAATAATGACTCTATCGTACGAATGGCCTAAGCATTAGCCAGCCAGTTTATGAAATGTTGTTTCATTGAACGGCTAATTCAGCTCGTTGGCTGCGACATACACCTGATATTGACTCCTACTTATTTCTTTCGAACAAGGTGCAAAATGCAAGTGCATTATTTAGGGCTCTTACGATTAAATAATTCGGGTGATTCCGGCAATACGACCGCCGGTAAAGATCTGTATGCGCATTATTAATTTGGGAGTACTGTACTTGAATCTGTTTAGTTCATGTTAAACAAGCAATTGAAGTGGTTTTTAATAAACATATACTAAGGGTAAGGAAATAGTAATTTTAATTATTTATAAAAATATATTTTTAAAGTTTATTATATCATGTTTAATTATAAATTAAACGAGAATAATGATTATGAGAATTGAAAAGGAATAAAAATATAAAGTATAGGGTGTCTCAGTAAGAGTGCACTTTTTAAAATTGTAATATTTTTGTTTTCCTGCAAGTGACGACTCTGAAATTTGACAGGTGTCACCTCTGTTTATTCCGATTATTAAAAATGGTGCGCTTTTTGAAAGAACAACAAGTTATAATTGTGAAAACTCATTACAAAAGTAACGATGAAAACGCTCGCAAACTTCACCAAATTTTCAGCCGAGAAAGTGCACCTAATGTGTCAACCATTCGAAGAGCGGTCAAAAAATTTTAAGAAACTGGGTTAATTATGGATAATAAGAATCTTTTGCGTCAACGTACCGGTCTGTCCCTTGAAAACATTGCTGCTGACTGCTGTAAACGAGAGTGTCGCCGAATACCCGAAAACATCAATTCGACGCAGCAAATTTTGACTAAAGACCTTCATGCGTACAAGATTCACTTAACTCAGAAGCTCAAACCAGCAGACCAAGGAAAGCACCGGCAATTTTCTCAATGAGTAATGGAGCTAAGGGAAGTCGATGCCAATTTTTCGAAAAAAGTCATTTTCTCCGATGAACAGAACACATTATCTCACGAAATTCTGATGTCAACTGGCCACCAAGATCGTGCGATTTAACGCCGTGCGATTTTTTGTTTGGGGTTTTGTGAAATCTCGAGTTTATGCGAATAAACCCGAAAGAATTCCTGAGCTCAAATCGGAAATCCAACGCGTCATCGGTGAGATACAGCCACATCTCTGTGCAAAAGTCATGGAAAATTTCATGAAAAGTGTAATGGCCTGTCATCGGAGCCGTGGAGGTTATTTGCCGGACATTTTATTCCATACTTAATCGGAACATGTCTTCTTTACAATGCAATAAAAATATCAGAACTCTGTCATAAAATACTTGTCTTTATTTAAAAATGAAAAAGTGCACTCTTACTGAGACACCCTATAGAATAAAAGCAAGTCATTTCGGACAGATCAATATACAAACGAAAATATACGTTAGTAATTGATGTGACATACAAACAAATGACAGGTTTAATTTAATATGGGTGAGATTCAGAAACGAGACTTATTATTTAGTAATAAAGTAAGAATAATAAACTCGTATTTAATAAAAAATTCTTATACAGCCCTGCGATTCTGTAACTCACTTTTCGAACTCACACAGCGGTTTTCGCATCGGCGGTCGCTCTCAAATCAGTCGTGCATCAGTCATTTTATGATTTGGCCTTCTAAAAAGGTGGGAGCTTATAGTTTATGTCCATGAAAGCCTAACCCCTTTTTTTTAGTATGGTGTTGAGCGTATGAAGTGGAAGAGAAGCTAAGATCTAAGAGTGAGATTCAGATACGAACGCGCAAACAGGTATTTCAGACTTAGCGCTACTTCTAGTTTCTCAAGCTTCCCTGAGTTTCGTTTCTGAATATCAAAATATAATATTTTAAACTTTTTCGTGGAATGTATCTACTAGATTATTTATACTTTACATGAATATTCGAATAATAAATTAAAAATTATACAGTCTATCATAGACTGTCTATGCAAATTGCTTTATTGTAAGTTCATTAAAAAGTTCAACGAAGTAATGAGTTGTAATTCAACTCATTACTG